TTCCGTTTTTGGGTCAACACTCAACAGCTAATATTCTCTAAACCACCATAGTTTTTAGAATTTAGGATTTATATATTGTTTTGCCCAAAAAAAAAAAGGGATTTATATTTTATATATTGTATAATCTGCTCTCTTTCTAAAGTATAAATCAACAACATAATAATGTTATGCACATTTAGTCACGTTTTTAATTGATCTACGCCATCTATAGCTACCAATTTTGTTTTGTCCACTGTTATCGGATCTTGAATAGTGTATTGACGTCTAGATACTCAAGTTTTTTTGTATAGTTTATATGCTTTAAATTAGGATATTTGGGATTTAATTTCACTGGAAATTAGTCGTCGTTGAGTGTCAATTTGGTCAATACGCGATTTAGAGAAATCTGAGTTCAAAACAAAGTTGAAAACTACCAAACCGGTTTGACCAAAACATGTTCCAAAATTCAAAATGTAAAGCGATCGGACCACACGTAGTGATCGGTCCTTTTGTGCTCTTGGGGTCATACTTTGAATTTATCATTTATGATGATGACCATTGATTCAAAGCTTCAGCCTACAAACCGGTCAACTACCGATAATAAATTTAAACCCAACTAAGAGTATGATAACAAGAAACGACTACGACACTTGATCATATCTAGTGATCTAAATTACATGACGCGATGGCTTTTCAAGTTCAATTTAGACTGCTAGATCGAATTAGAATAAATTACATCTACAAGCTAATCATATGTCACCACGAACTACGTTTTACCCTTTTTTCAGTCTAGCGAATTTCTTTAATAGCTAATATGAAGAAAGGAGTAGTCACATCCTCTTTCGTATATGTAAGTTGATTCATATGTATTGGACATTAATATCTAAATCTACCACTTAACAACTACATGCATGCCTAGTGAATTCACATGGTCCATATGCCTATATATATTTTATTGTATTAGCTATATATAGTAAATCTAAATCTAATTGATGAAACACAATTTTCGACACAGTAAAAATTTTCGAGATCTTATTAGAAGTCTTTATTTGTTTGCAAGTCTCCTAGACGACTTATTAAGTAAACAAAAAATTTTTGATATATATTTTGAATTACTCAAACAAGTTGTTGCAGTAGTCGTGTTGTATTTTTGGCTTTTACAGGTCATATAACTCCGGTTCCCTGCTAGACACTTGAAGACAAAGCCTCCAAAACTGCCTTTTATTTCCTTCGTGTCTTTAGATATTACATACGATATAGTAATATTTTATGAGTGGAAGATAAGACTGAAGTTTTGTGGTACTTAGTTATATACATAACTAAAAGCATATCCAATAGTTTTCGAATATTAAAATATGGATTTGTTTGAAATAAAGCAGAGGTCATAACCTAATTATTGACAAAAAATAATGAAAATTGAAGAGGATATAGTTTAATATTATATTTGAAATAAAGGATTTTTGCCAAAGAGAAGCACTAGAACAAGGAGAAGACAAACCAAAACATGCCTTTATATCATTCAATTATTTAGTTATGTATATGGACCTTATGGCCTCTCTCTATCTTTTTAGTGGATTTGCATTATGTCTTCTCACTTAGTTAAATAGTTTTTCTTAGTTAAATATATCATCTGCCAAAAGTGAGAAAGATTAAGCCATTAGACACTATAGTAGTTGAAAATTCTTAAATATTAAATTAGATTCAATTTATCTCACAGAAAGATTCATCATACACCATGCCAATACTTGATCTTGAAGTGACAAAAAGAAACTCATTATAACACCAATGTGAGGGTGTAATTGAATAGCCTTCAAGTGGAAAATAAAATAATGTAGCAAATGCTGAAACTTTACTCAAAGACCTATGTCCTATTTAATATATTTTCTAGTCTTTTCTCTTTTAATCTATATATAATAGCAATCTAATAAATACTATTTGCACATCAGAACGGTTGCGTCTTTTTATCGCAACATTTCGTTTAAATCGGTTAATTTTTACGGTTATGTCTTTTTATTGAATTTTCTCTTTGAATTATTTACGGTTATATTTGTTCAATTACAGTCGTATCTTTTCAGTTTACAGTTATATCTTTATAGTTGCATTTATTCATTTAAAGTTACGTCTTTCTATTATATAATTTCATTGCATTTTTTGTATAGTTAGTAATACTACGAAGTTTTTTTACATCAACCATTAGACTACATATCAAATTAGTTTTATTAACCAAAATAACAACCTCAATAAATGCATTTTGCAATTCTGAACGGTTGTGTTTCTTTACCGTAACTTTTCGTTAAAATATTCATGGTTATTTTTTCGGGTGTGTTTTTTTATCGCAACTCTTCATTAAAATATTGACAGTTATTTTTTGGTTGTATTTTTTTATTGCAACTTTCCGTTAAAATATTGGTTGTTACTTTATTCGTTTGTGTCTTTTTATCGCAGCTTTCCGTTAAAATATTGACGGTTATTTTTTCTCGGTTGTGTCTTTTTATCTCAACTCTTCGTTAAAATATTGATGGTTAATTTTTTAGTTGACGGTTATTTTTCGGTTGTGTCTTTTTCTCGCAACTTTTCGTTAAAATATTAACGGTTACTTTTTTCGTTGACGGTTATTTTTTGGTTGTATTTTTTTCTCGCAACTTTCCGTTAAAATATTGACGGTTACTTTTTTCGTTTCTGTTTTTTTATCATAACTTTTTGTTAAAATATTGACGATATTTTTTCCTCGTCTTTTTATCGCAATTTTTTGCTAAAACATTGACAGTTATTTTTTCTCGGTTGTATCTTTTTATCGCAACTCTTCGTTAAAATATTGACAGTTAATTTTTTCGTTGACAGTTATTTTTTCGGTTGTGTCTTTTTATCGTAACTTTCCGTTAAAATATTGACGGTCATTTTTTTTGTGTCTATCTATCGCAACTTTCCATTCAAAGTTTGACGGTTATTTTTTTTCGGTTGTGTCTTTTTATCGCAACTCTTCGTTAAAATATTGACGGTTCTTTTTTGTTGACGATTATTTTTTTGGTTGTGTTTTTTTATCGCAACTTTCCGTTAAAATATTAGCATTACTTTTCTCTTTGTGTCTTTTTATCGCAACTTTTTGTTAAAATAATAACGGTTATTTTTTCTCGGTTGTATATTTTTGTCCTAGCTCTTTGTTAAAATATTTACGGTTACAATTTTTCATTGATGGTTATTTTTTCGGTTGTCTATTTTTATCATAACTTTCAGTTAAAATATTGACGGTTTCTTTTTTTTGGTTTTGTCTTTTTAACGTATCTTTCCGTTAAAATATCGACGGTTTCTTTTTCTCGGTTGTGTCTTTCTATCGCAAATTTCCGTTAAAATATTGACGGTTATTTTTTTCGGTTGTGTCTTTTTATCGCAACTCTTCATTAAAATATTGACGGTTATTTTTTTCCGTTTGTTTCTTTTTATCGCAATTTTTCGTTTAAATATTGACTATTATTTTTTCTCGGTTGTGTCTTTTTATCGCAACTCTTAGTTAAAATATTTACGGTTACATTTTTCGTTGACAGTTATTTTTTCTGATGTTTCTTTTTATCATAACTTTTCGTAAAAATGTTGACATTTACTTTTTTTATTGTGTCTTTTTATCGCAACTTTTCGTTAAAATATTGACGGTTATTTTTCTCGGTTGTGTTTTTTATCTCAACTTTCCGTTAAAATATCGACGGTTATTTTTTTCTCGGTTATATCTTTTTATCGCAACTCTTCGTTAAAATATTGACGGTTACTTTTTTTATTGACGGTTATTTTTCTGGTTGTGTTTTTATATTTTTTTGGTTTTGACCCGCTAGAATTTTTTCTCTCTATATTATAACTCTTCGTTAGTTATTTTGTCACTTATAAATGATTTTATATTCACAAAAAATGTTTCAAAAGTGTTTTTTTAATCATAATTTTTTTTTTTACATTTTTATTCATAAATTTTTTTAATATCTTTAGAAAATATTTACGATATAACTTTAAGACATAGTTAATTTTATATAATAATTCAATGATTTGAATATATTATTATAATAATTTAATACATAAACATAATAAAATATATTTGTTGAAAATGAGTTCCCCCGCGATATCGCGGGGTTCATAACCTAGTTATTGTAATTATAGGGCATGAAAAGGATGTGAAATTAAATCATTTACGAATACAAGTATGTATTAAATTATATTATAACTAAAAGGGGTCGCAGATCTCAACCTTACATGATTGAAACCTAATGTTGAATTTTAGCTTTTTAGAAAGGGGACATGAACTTAACTTCTCTAGTGAGCAACTACAAACTATAAGGTACAACTACTATGTCATCTCTTAACATATATATGCATGCATGTTTAAAAAGGCTTTTTCACATAATTAATAAACGATTTCAAGTATTAAATATATGTTAATATAATTATTGTTGTTGAAAACCGATGTTTTTATGCCATATATTGACATTATCATTGAATACCATAAATTTTATTTATATATTATTATATGGGACAAGAAATTTCTAGAAAATTTATAAAAAACTTTTTAAATCTACTAGAATCGATGATTACATTGAGCTGGTCCTGTGGCCACTCCGAAAAGATAACCCCAAATATGTATGTAATCCTTTAATTTAGATTATGATTCTTTATCAAGAAATATAGATTATGATTTGATCCGACATCCAGGTCAGTAGAGAAAGCAAGTAAACATTCTAACTTTTTCCCATGGACCAAACTCATCATTTGTATGATCTTTTATGTCCATAGATTAAGTGAGTCTATCTCTCTTAATATTCTTTAAAAAGAAACTTCTGTCGATAGCAATATGCAACATGCTCAAAGAAAATAAATAACCCCCTTTTTTTTCTTACCATCTTATCTCTCAATGTAACAGTAACCAGGACTGGACATATAGGGGCTTTGACGAATGGGCTTAGACATCCTTTTACTTCCGTGTTGGATCCATGAATTTGCAAGGTTCTTTTAAGTTAGCAGTAGGTTTGACTGTGATTTGTACGTAATCCACTTCAAGTTCCTCATATTTACATTTAGAGGATCTAAAAACGAGTTCTTTAATAGTACAACAAAACAAAATTTCCAAGCTTATATTACAAAGATGTTTTAGTGTACAAAATCAAAACCCGCCTTGAGTTTCTTTCTTTGTCTCCCAAAGGACCAGGAAACTTAATCTGTAGTGTTCTTGTCATACAAATCTCCTGTGAAATAAAGTCAGCTTCTTTTCCTGGTTATAAATCAGTCAATCATCATGCTCAGCAGAGAAATCAGGCTCTTCAGGTTTCTTAAACCGAGGCAATTCGACATCCTTAACTCTTTGAGCTGCAACACCGCGTCTTGTATTAGCTGCAAAACGCGATGCCAAAACCATAACTCCAAGGTTCATCTTTGTTCTAGGACTCTCCTCAACACACTCTTCTTCTTCTTCTTCTACTTCTTCTCCTACTTCTCCTTCTTCATTTTCCATTGATTCAATCGCAGTGAGGTTATTCTCCATAACTCTTCTCTTGTACCTGCGCCAAGCCGCTTGTATGAAGCAAGCAGCCCAAGTTCTCCAATGGTGAGAGTAGAATCTGAAAGTATGTTGAAGCTTCTTGCTGTGTAACCGCCTAAACTGATTTGCAACAAACTTCAAATCTTCAGCTCGAAGAGCGAATGCTTCGACTTCAACTAAAGCCCTAACTGTTCTTGTAGAAGACGGTAAATTCAAGGTTGATTTTGGAAGCAAAGCCCAAGAAAGAAGCTCTTCCCCACAGAAATCTCCAGGTCTTAGTATTATCGAGTTGAAGAAACCGGTTCTGCCTCCATTGGTTGTGGAACTCTCCAGTCTACCTCTGATGATGAAGAGCATCTCTGAGATCAAGTCACCTTCACGTACAAGGTAAGTCCCTTCGGTACACAGACAAGAAACCAGGCGCTCACATATCGCATCAAGTAACTGATCATCCATTTGAGAGAAAAATGGGACCTGCATGATTCACGATAGTAGTTAGCCTAATATGTCTCTTTTGGATAATAATTTTCTAAAAGTTGAACCATTTGTAGGATAAACAAATCAATAGAAAAACTTACTCTTCTAACAAGGTCTAAACATAGGTGACGTTGAATATCACGGCGAAGATCAGTGGGTAAGCTTTGCAGGAGAACCTCTTCATCGACTCCTCTTGTTGCAAGCCACTTATACTGCTCATATCGCCTCACACGGTTTCTCAATTCTTCAGGAAGTTGGCGATGTCTCATCCACTCCTCCGTGTCTCTCTTCTTCAATCTCCATTCCTCAAGCCGTACAGTCAAAGATTGCAGATATGTCTAACAAACAAAAGGGAAAACCTAAGAAATATAAGAACAAAAGCAGAGACTTTTAAAAACTTATCTTAATACAGGAATTCATACCTGCATATTCCCAATGAGATGGGCAAAGAGGACAAGACCAAAGATTGCTATGAGAACAGCAAATGTGGTTTCGCCCATGAACATGGTCGTGGACAAATTCTGTCCATAAGAACTAGGATATGATAATAACAGGAAAAAAACATCAGATATTAAAACTTGTAATCAAAAAGGAGAGTAGTAATTGGTATCAAAGGCTACATTATGATGATCTCTGTAATTACCTAAGCTGCTGCAATCCCCACCACAAACAGTAGAAATATCTCTCGAAGAAGTTTGAAGACACAACTTTTTTCGTGATTGCGTTCCCGAATATCCCATACTTGAACTCGCCATTCCGTGCATCACAGAGTTTAAACACTTTTGTGACATTTGCCCAATTCATCTGATTGTCGTCATACATTGAATCACAGTCTAAGTAATATAGCTGACAATTAACTAGGCCACGTTCTCTGTCGCATCGTGATTTCCAGCACGATGTATATCTATCAACCGATAATATATACCACGCAGCACCAAGTACCTGTCCCAACAAAAACATTGTAGCTTTGATTATCATCGCAATAAGGAATGAAATGATGGACGAAGAAGGAATGGAATTCATACATGACTAGCTAGCATGTATAGCAACAGGTTATAAGCAGCTCCAGCCCACGCAGTCTTTGTAACCACTCCAGTCGCTTTGACGATTTGAGAACTTAACGGAATTATCAAATAGAACCTTGGGATGTATTGGAGGAGCACAATCAAAGCAATAGCATTGTTGTTATGATCAAACCGGTAACTTTTTGTGGTCGATATAACAAACCAGATAACTATTTGTGGAAGTGGTAACGTCGCAATGAGATCAATGATGAAGTCAGATTTAAGATACCTCCAAGCAATTGCCTTAGGATCCATCACCAGCTCACCTCTACCAAACACTCTAGTACTTGAATTAGGCGCAATGAAACCAGTCCTAAACTTAATGAAAATGTGCAGCAAGTAGAAAAGATCCGCAATTGTCCTGAAGAAGGTAACAAGGATGCTTAAACTCGTATCAGTCCTTGCGCAAGGATAATCTTTATCCCCTCCTATAGCTGGCACGAAGAAATACAACGGGTCGATGAAGAGAGCAACCATACACGAGACAATGAAGACCCAATTCCATTTCAAGACAATCTCACTTCCTGGATCAAGAATTGTCTTGTACCATGAGACTTTGGAAGATTTGGACTTGTTATTACTAGCTTTAGAAGCATCAGTGTATCTAAGTCTATTTCCAGGTAAGAGATTATCAGGTCTTAGTGCTGAAGGTAAAGAGAGCTTATAAGATTTGCTCATTGGATCATTCACTGCCCAAATAGCTTCTTTGCGTTCTTTCCCCTCTGAATAAAACCTACAAAGCAATACAAAACTTAAATCTGTAATCTGAACCCTAAATAGAGATTTTAAGTAAAACCCAGTACCCAAAATCGGAGCTTGAGTTTTGATTTAATAGAATTCCACATAAATCTAAAGCAAAGTCTAGATTTTTATTTCTGGGCAATCAAAGTTGAAGACTTTCCAGGAACGTAAATCTAAGGAAAACACAGAAACTGAAGATGAGAGAACTTACATAAGAAGCTTGTCCTTCCTTAACTCCATTAGAAGAAGCTCAAGCTCGAGTAAAAAAAAAAACCTTTTGATCTAAACAAACCAAAATTACGAACAGAAGTTTTTAAAAATCATTTCTTTGACTCGTGTCTCTGACACTCTCACTCTTACTCTCTCTCTAAATCTGAGAAAAATTGTTGGTTTTGTTTAATTCCTCCGGAGAGGATTGATTGAAGGAGGGAACCACTGAGTCACGGGGACGAGTCAGAGAGCGTACCTTCTTTGCTTTTTTTTTCACCTTTAAGAAAAGCAACTCGGAAGGATATTTGTTTTTTTTGGGAATATTTGAGCCATCGGTATAAGACAAGAAGTCAACACATTTGACTAAAAGTGACATAATTTAGCTAATCAAAGTCATTATTAGTTTACAATACTAATCACACTAATTAGACAAATGTTACGTCACAAAAAAAAAAAAATACTTTTCTCAGTCTTGTAGTCAGATCCAATCACAATCACTTATAAACTTTGAATCACACATTTAAAAACATACATGACACAACTTTAGAGGTGAAGCAGGTAAATCGAAATCACACTTGCTGAACTCTGTAAAACAGAGAGTTAAAAACATTGTTAAACAATTGGCATAATAATCAAACTTCAAACTATGTTGAATTCTACAGAAATTCATCATTCTCTTATTGGATCAAATTCAAACAGTGAAAAAAAAAGCTTTCAATTGTGGAGCTTTGTAAAAAAAAGACGCTGTACATGACTATTGATGAAAACCAAAATTGCTGCTAAACATGATCATAACGAAATTAAACACACTTACAAAACTAAATTTTCTTCACTGAATCAAATCTATAAACCCTATCCCTACAAATCGGACAAGTCGAGACTTTGATCAACCACAAGTCCACACACTTTCGGTGAAACACATGTCCGCATCGAGGCAGCTTCCGACACCACTGTCCTTGTCTGAATCCATCGATACAAACCACACAATCATCGCTTCCGTACTCTGTATTAGGCTCACAAAACTTGAATTGAGGAAGCCTCTTCACGCATCTTGGAGATAACCCATCTGAGTATTGGTGACGGCGATGACGACGGAGACGGTGGCGATAATTTCGTTGAAGAAACCAGTAGAAAGCGAAGAAGAAGGTGAAGCCGAGAGACGTGAGGATAAAGAGAAAGGCGGTTACAGCTACAGGGATCATAATTAGACCTATGAGGAAGTTAGAGAGAATCTTCGTCGGTAGATTATTCGTGTTCGCTTTTGGTGGCGGAGGAGACGGAGATGGCTCGCCGGAGTTTGAGCCATCGTAGGGAATATGTATCGACATCGGAAGATGGCGGCGGAGATTAAAAATCTTCTCTTTTATACGAATCAAACTCTAATCCTGTTTTCACGGGCTAGATAAAGGAGAGATTTTAAAGATCGAAATTTTTTTAATGGATTCAAAGTATGCTGTCTGATAGATATTTATATGCGGGAATATTCGGACATCTTTTTCTTTTTAACTAGTTTTTGGCCCTTATGAGAGGAGCTCATGACAGTCGTGAGAAAAGTCTGTTTTAAACCAAATTTCTGATTAAAAGTGATAAATTTAACTAGAAAGAAGAAGATTATTTAAGCGTATAAAAACACAAATACAGACACGTTTCCAAACAATGGGGTTCTAATAAATTATCTTACTAAATTTTATCATAATTCATACATAATGAGGTTTTGCGTTACAAAAAAAAAAAAAAAGACTAGAGGACTAGAGGAGAAAACAAAGGGCGAAACCAGACATCATTTAAGGATAAAGAAATGGTGATCACATTTCTGATCATAAAAAATTAGGGTTCAGTTTTGGTTCCAATTATTATCTCTGAGCTTCCTATCTGGTAATGCCGAGTGGGAAGTGATAAGGACAATCCGACAAGGGCAGCTTCCTCGGTAACACCATTCCTTATGTCACCCACCATACCTTTACATTCTGAAATTCTTTGCATCATTTTTAATATTATCTCGTTGTTTTATTCCGGTTCGTTTTGCGGTTATCTCCGTGGTTGAGATTGGTTTAGAATAATGTCTCCTTATCATGTTATTAGGCCCATTACTCTCGCCTACTAACCGGCTTATAGGTTGCAATTTTTTTTTTTTTTTTTATAGGTTGCAATTTTTATTGAATATATATATGTCCCATTGATAAAATAGTCCATAAATTGACTACATTTTAGGACATACAAAAGGGCCACAATATATCTTTACATGAACGTATTGGATCATATAACTCTTTTTTGTAAGAGTTTTTTCTTTTGATAAATTGTTTTGATGAGAGTGTTAACAGAAATTTATGTGGCAAATTTGATCATCGTAGTTGGTAAACGTTTTCTGGAGTACACTTGGCTGTAATTTGCTCTCACATGAGGTTATAGCAATGTTTCTAAACCTTTATAGTCAACACAGATAAGTAGAAATTAAATATTACAACTATACACACATGTTAAAATGGGAACAGTCAAAGAAATTTCAATGGCAAGCATTTAGATTACATGCATATTTAGAGTTAGTCATATAATACATCTGCTATATATATAGATATGTCGCATTTCAAATATAAACACTCTTATAATATAGATTTGAGAGAAAGAACAAAATAAACACGTATCATGAGTAAAAAGTTTTTGGTTTTTTCTACCGTTCTTGTTTTTCTCTTCTCTTTATCATATGCAACTCCCGGAATTACAACTTTCTACACAAGTTATACTCGTAAGAATACGTACTATTTTACATTCTATTTTTATGTTTTACTACCTAAATTATATACCAAATATAAGCAACAAACTTATCTAACTATAGGGAAATGTTATAAAATCATAACGACCACTTTTCTTTTATTTCGTGTTTGATAGCATCGGCATGTTACAGAGGTACGCAAGGAGTGATGATAGCTGCAGCAAGTGATCGATTATGGAACAATGGTCGAGTTTGTGGCAAAATGATCACAGTGAAATGCACCGGACCTCGTAACGCCGTGCCTCATCCTTGCACTGGGAAATCCATGACGGTCAAAATTGTTGACCATTGTCCCAGTAGCTGTGCTTCTACGCTCGATCTTTCCCGAGAAGCTTTTGCTCAGATCGCTAATCCTGTCGCTGGGATTATTAACATTGATTATATTCCGTAATCATTACTCCCTATCCTTATCACCTAGTATATTCTTTGTTAATTTAAAGAAGCAGGATTTTAATTATGAGATTGTTTATTTGTATTTCACGGCCTAAACGTCGATGAAGTTCTCAAGGAAAATGATGCTCAAGTCTAGAAAGTCCTAATGGAACATGTACACTACACACATCATGAGTTTTGTAATAGTTTCATAATTAAAGTTTTTAAAACGTTCAAAACTGTAAGAAGAAAAAAAAATCAAAATTTTGTAACAAATTAAAAACTTATATATTAAATTTACAAAATAATGCGATAGCATGTTGAACTTGTGGAATCGACTAACGATCAACTGACTAGGTCAAATGACAGGATCCAAAGTCCGGTTAGTTTTCACATTATTTTATAAATTTAATAATTAAAGTTTTTAAAGCGTTCAAAATCGTAAAAAAAAGAAAAGAAAAAAAAAACAAAATTTGAAAACAAAATAAAAACTTGTATATTAAATTTACAAAATAATGCAAAAATATGTTGAATTTGTGAAATCGGCTAACGATCAACTGACTAGGTCAAATGATAGGATCCAAAATCCGGTTAATTTTCACATTATTTTGTAAATTTAATAATTAAAGTTTTTAAAGCGTTCAAAACCGTAAAAAAAAAAAAAGTAAAAAAAAAGCAAAATTTTAAAACAAATTAAAAACCTGTATATTAAATTTACAAAATAATGCGAAAACATGTTGAACTTGAGGAATCGGCTAACGATCAACTGACTAGGTCAAATGACAGGATCCAAAGTTCGGTTAGTTTTCACATTATTTTGTAAATTTAATAATTAAAGTTTTCAAAGCGTTCAAAACCGTTTAAAAAAAAATCAAAATTTTTAAAACAAACTAAAAATTAGATCTTAAAACAAAAGTTTGATTTTTTTTTTTAAACCCGTGAGAAATTAGAAAAAAAAATTAAAAACCCTACTTCTTTTTAACGTAACGTAAATTGTTTTTAAAGCTATTAATATTCTTAATTAAAAAAAAAAGGGGCTCAAGAAATTGACCTTTTTTTATGGGCTGGAGTTATTATTGTTGGGCTTTGTAGGATAGCACCATCTCTAATCTCGCGGCAAAGCAATCCGATGATCAAAACTTGAATCCCTCAAACCTCTCATTGATCTTCCCTCTCTATCGTCATCTCCGTCTTCGTAGGTAACAACGACTAAACGAACATAACCTTATGATCCTTTTCCTCATCCTCCATCACGCTCATCTCTGATGAGGAAAAATCCATAGAATTCGAAGAAATCATAGATGAAATCGACGAGAATAGAGTTCAAGAAAGAAGAAATCGAATAAGAGAAACAAAAATTTAGAGAAATCACGTATGAACACTCTTATAACTCGTGTTTCTATTTTTTGTTTCTTTGTGGTTTCTGATGATGAAACTAAAAAGATTAGACATAGAGAAGAGAGGAAGCGCGAGAGACTATTTATAAACTCATCATCGACTGTGGTTTAGGATTCAGAGTTTCCTTTTTTTTTTTTTTTAATTCTTCTCTATTATTTCCTTTTTTTAATTCTTCTCTATTATTTCCTTTTTTTAATTCTTCTTGGTTGTTTCCTTTTTTTTCACTCATCTGTATTGTTTCCTTTTTTTTTTACTTGGGTTTGAGAAACAAACAAAATATACCATACTTAGTTTTCATATTTAAGTTCTATTTTGATCTGTTGTAGTTGGATCAAAAAGTTTCTTCTTATTCCTCTTGTACCCTCTCAATATCTCATATACCAAACAGTGGATTGCAAGTAAGAGTTTTGCCGAAATTAGCTTTGCTCTAACTTGGAGATTCATTTGAACATTCGAAATCAGGAGGTGTCAAAACGTATTACTGCGACTCTGGTTCTTCCAAAAAAGTATATCGAAGGTTCCATCTCAACAAACGTTAGAAATATCATCGCAACTCGATGAATTCTTCCTAGTTCCTATCTATAATATGTTTCAGAGACATGAACGACCTTGTAAAAACTAAAATGACAATATATGTTCACTACTGTATGCCGAACTACTAAAGCACTATTCAACAAAAACCTGAATCCATACTAAATCATGGCTACTTCGATAAAAATCCCTCTGGTTGTCAAAGAAAACCAACCCTGAAGTAAACCGAACAAACCCGAGACTAAATTACTAGATCTTTACATGAGTAAGAGGAAACATGGACTTGGAATTCAGATAACCAAGCTATCAAAACTGGAAACTTACAACAAAACTCTGCAGCAGACAAGAAGCTTCTATGATTGCATAAGAGTTCATAGGAACAGAAAAAAAGAAGAAGCTTATACTATATAATTTGAACCCCTTCAGTTAATATTTACACACAAAGAGAAGAAAAATACAGACTTCAATCAGGCAATGTATCTCTGCAGTTGTCCAGATTTGTTGTTTCTGCCTAAATGATCCGAAAACTGCAATCATGAACTGACCTTTTAACACTTCGGACCGCGTTTCCAAACTCGCTCATCGCGATAATCTACCACCTTTCACCTATCGTCTAGTCCCGTTCAATCTAAACTTCTCATCACATCCTGCAAAGTGTAACAACAAAAAGTTCTTAGCTCAAGAACACATGTAAAGATCAAAAGGGGAAAAGAGTAACACTAAAAACTTACGAGTAGGAAGGATCGGATAAACGTTGATTTTGATTTTGAGGGCGTCGATAACAGAAAGAACTTCCTCGTTTCCAGATGCCATAAAGAGTCTCAGAACTCTCTCATTCAATTTCCCAGCTTTCAATGTCCTCTTAACATCACAAAACAACAAAAGAATCAATTAGAAACAGCATCAACCATATGTAATGAAGCAAAACAACAACAAACTATCTCAAATAATCCACTAAACCAACCAGTGATTTAAGAACAGATAAGAGATATCAACAACACAAACAACTGTTCCTCACAAAGCATATAGAGTAGACTACGATTCTGGAACCCTAAAGCTTAAAACTTTCACTAAATATCAAAGGAAGATGACCTAAAAATCCCAACTTTACACTAATATCGAAAAACCCAGAACCAGAATCAAACCAAGTAATAGAAAAAGAGGATTGAGATTAGGGTTTTTACCGCGAAGAGGTCAAGGAGGATGTGATCAGGAAGATGTGAGAGATCGTTGATGCGAGAGAGGTTTAAGACGGCGGCGTTAACGGTGAGGGAGAGCAGAGACGGAGGAGGGTTTCTCATTCAATCAGTTTGAGAGAATTTGTTGCTCCAAAGATTGCTGAATTAAACGAAATTGCTTAAAGGCTCCGTCTTTGATTTTGTGTGTTCTATTGAATCCGCCGCCTTCTTTTTCGTCGCTATGGAATCTGAATTTTCCACGATCGAAATCTATACAGTGTCGGTCTCTAAGAGGACGTCTCCAGAAAAGGAAAAGTGCCAAAGGGCCAATCTTTCTTCTTCTCACTTTTTCTTTTCTTTTCGCGTTTGTCTAATAAACGCAAAACGCTGCGTTTGACTTACCATTTTATCACTAAGATTAGTGTGAAAAGTGTAAATATCCAAAATTATGTATCCAAATTAGCGTGATAAATCGGAAAGGAAGAAGTTCTGTTAGCAATGGTATCGACACTTCGATTGGCCGGCCGACTTTTGAATGCAACAAGTAGATGTTGTCGGTTTTTCTCAATGATCTCTAATTCTCTATCGTGATACTCTTCAGTCGAGGCCAACTTTGAGGGTTTTCCCGCGCATGTATCGATGCTTTAGAGTCACTCTCTAACTAAATTTGTTGAATGCATGCCGAAATGTTAGACACGACATCTTCCATGAAATTGCTATTATTTCAGCTGCAAGGCATAATGCAACCTAGGATATGGCTTGGTCTCAAAGACTCAAACCATTTGAGAGCTCATTTTACTTGCTTCACTTCTATTTATTCTATTGATTGATCCTAAGATAAAAATAGTTGAAAACTTAAGAGAAATTTATATATTTAAATATCAATCAATGTGATAAAGATGACATATTGACCATGACATGTAAGTTCAGTAGTGCGTTTGTGTTAATACTTAGTACTATTGTTATCTCGCCATAGGCCCATAACACATAGTACAATACTTGACAAGAATTAGAGAGATTGTGTTTCAGTGAACGGGCTCCCTAACGATGGGCCGAAACAAAGCCATAGATCTTTGTTTTCGTTAAAATGCTGATCTACTATACTCTCAAGCCCACTAATCTCTGGATTCGCGGACTTGATTATATTTTAGTTGAGTTTCTTAATATTTGTGAAAAGCATACTGATAGGACAATTACGGAACTATTAAAAGATAAGTATAATTGATGGCGACATAAATATTGTTGGAGCATACTGTAGTTTAAAATTATTGTGTCAGTCTAACGTATCAGTACCACAATGAGTTAATCAGCAAAGATACTAGAGAATTTTTATGTTTATAGATTTTCTTCAGTTTTGAGATGACTACGACTCTTTATGAGTATACTCGGTTGTCAATAAAATCGATGTGAAGATTAAATTGTTAATCCAAAATTTTATGTATGTTAGAACTGGTCGTAAGCAAACAAAATGCTGTTGAAATTGTGCATAAAACCTGTTAAATGAGTTGTTAGAACTATTTTGGAAATCTTTCGAGGCATAACCTATGTGAATGTGTGTCTAAGTGTCTAATAGTTCAATCAATTAACAATTAGGAGTAGTTAACAAAATATAAAGTCTTCATTTGAACAATATATTAAGTTTTTGGGATGGTTTTGCTTACGAGGACATTCTATGATATATTTTACATGTTTATTATATAGATTTTATTTAGATGGACAGTTAAGCAAGGGTCTGAAATTTATTGGCAAAGCAATAAATGTTATCTGTATAGCACATGCACATGGGGATTCTTTTTCCTCTTTATAAGGTCCAATTTTTCATTTTATATATCTCCTAAATGTGTATTGTTACATTTTAATAATGTTTCGTGAGAAAAGGTGTCGAATGGAGAACATTTCAAACTATTGACTAATCTCTTAAATTTAAATTTAGGTGGAAAATTTTAAGAATTTAAAACCATGTAATGACAAATTAGTTGTTACAATATCGTGGGAGATCTAACTTAAAAGTTCACTGTCCCAATGATCCTGATGTTTTTCATTATTTTCACATTTAAGTATCAAAGTATTATTCAAAACCAACTGATCCGTGTTTTTGTCTACTCTTGTAAGAACACTACGAGTTTTAAGATAAAAGTTCTATCAATTAGGTTTTTGGCTCATGGGTCTATCTTGTCAACATCGTTTACAATATTTGTCGTTACAGAGAAATTGCATCATTACGGGATGATTGTATTCATCGAATTCTAATTTATTCCTCTATTTAATTGGAGAAAGTAGAAAAGCTTGCAAAATAACTAAAGTCAAACATGTTGCATTTTGCAAACCTGCCTAGTAAGAAAAACGCCACTCCAAGCACCAAATTCATTTAGAAAACTCTTATCTATATTTCCAAACAATCGTTTTCTTTTGTCGTTCTACAAATTAAAAATAATCTATTTTTTGTTTAGATAAAATATAAATGCAGCATTTCATGTAGTTGTTATACTACTATTAGTAACTCGGTTTTATTGGTCAAAGGGAGCAGGTGATTCCGAAAGAAAATAACATGAAACTAAATTCTATACACAGCGTATCTGTTATTTCTTCAATACATAGTATATTATTTTTCTTCTGGAAGGTAACCTTTTTTACATGTTTTCCTCCTTCAAGTTATGAAAGTAGCTTGAAAAAAATAAATAATTAGGTAGAAATTTGTAGGTTATGGAGATGTACGTCAAAAGTGAGTGGACTTTCTAACTATAGCCAAAGCATCGAGCACCAAAACTTTTAATGTCTAATATTTATATGTATCTTCGTAAACTTCAAAGAAAATATTGAAATGAAGAAAATTTGTAATTCCGGGGTATAATATAAGATTGAGAAAATTAAATTACGTCCCTATAGATTGTCTAAATTATGACTTATAAGAAACATACTAAATACACTATATATGAATTCCCGTTGTTGTTTTTTCTTCTGATAAAGATGAACTCCCGTTCTGCTAAGCAAGATTTATCAATTAATATGTATATTGTAATAAATTTGTAATACCTGAAAATAATGATACAACAAATAACGGCTAAACAAAGGTACCGTATGTAATATGGGAGAGAGGCTTTAGACGAGTGGTGTTGGAGGTGGATTTCGAGTTGATTGTTTGTTTTCTATTCTCAGGGATAAGTGATGTGCATCCCTTAGCTTTCCTGGTACGTATATGCCACGGTTTCATTTCAAATGACTGGTTAGTCCGGGTAATCCACAGGTATAGAGAGGCTAATCGTCTCGCAGACGGATTAGCTAACTATGCTTTTTTCACTGCAGTTAGGTATTCTTTTATTTGATTTTTGTCCCGATGTAGTCAAACAGATTATGTTGGAAGATGCTAGTGGGACGGAGTTTTCCCGTCATATTCGTTTGTAATTTTCTATTTTTTTATAATAAATTGGAGGGAATTTTCCCCTCTGGCTCACCAAAAAAAAAATGTAATTCAGTACTATGTAGGTATATCCATATATGATAACGAAAAGTGTATAAGGCTTTTCTTTGGTTGATAGAATTAAATCGATTTATGTTAACATATGTTGACTGAAAATGAGCTACAAAATAATAAATTTTTAGTAATCATAATTTGATTAAAACCGGTTTATATTAACGTCGTCACACAATAATTTTAACACAACACAATAATCAATGTAATGTGATTGCATCATATATCAAATAAGGGATAGTATGAACAAGTATAACCTTTTCTACACCTTTTTATGGTAAATTCATTTACCACAGAATAAAACTTAATCAAAAGTGCATAACACAAGATTCGCCTTGAGTCGTAACACAACAAAAGCATTGAACCTTCTTATAATTCTGATTTCTTGTTTCGTCCGTTATAATATATCTCTCCTTTTTCAGCGCAATCGAAATTTGATCCACTGCCCAAAATAATGCAAATATTGTGTATATCTAGACTTCTAATAGTAAACAAATAATAGGCTTTTGAGAGTTTCGTGTAAACAAGTGAAAAGGCGAAAAAAAAAAAAATGTAAACAAGTGAAATATGTAACCTATAACCTAGCCACTAAATCAATCGAAGCGGTTGATTCGATTGTAGTTGTGCGTTTAATGTATCCTTTCTTTATATTTTTTGTAGCTTTTGAAAAACTGCATGACATAATGTCATGGACTCAACTGGTTCTTAATAAATAAGGTTTATGAAAAAAAAAAAAAAAAAAAAAAAAAAATTGAAAAAAAAGGAGAGTGTTTTCTTCTGGTTTGACTTAATAAAGTGGTACCCACCAAATCTCGATAAACAGAGTTGCTCTGCTTATCGCTTCCGTGTCGACTTGTCCTATGTTTCCGTTCCTCATCTTTCAATTTCCAAATTGTTCTTATAAAGACTAGTATTTCACATACACTAAAACTATTTATGTGTAGCTTCTGAATACGTTTGGCTGACGTTTAAATAAAATCTAGTGACTGAAATTGGCTGACGTAAAAAAAGAGAGGCTGAATTTGCTTCTTTCTTTCCGTAAACCAAAATAAATAAATAAAGAAGTTGATGGTTCGTTCGAAATTTAATGAGAAAATTTGAAATTTCTTCATTCAGCTATATTACTTACATTTATTTTCTATTTGAAAAAAGGTATATAATAATTTCCTCCCTGCCCGTTCCACTCGTATTATTTGAACCTTACCTAATTAAATTACACCATAACACGAAAGCAGAAAAAATGTATAAAATATTTATACATCAAAAAGAAAGACAAATAAATTGAATGCAATAACATATAATTAAAACATCTTGAAATGAAAATAATAGTTCGGGATTTGGTTGTCTAGCTCAAAATTAGGAGTCATGTTCTTTTCATGATATTTTCATTTTATCTCTTTAATTTTCGTGTGCGGACAAATGATGAATTATTATTTTACGAAAATACAATTTTATATAAATACGATATTATTTCTTAATCTTGTGGATTGTGAAGTAGTGGTGGTGTTCTTTGTCTCGTTGATTTAAATGAGGGAGCATAGGATTTGGTGAGATCACAATATATTATCCACATAAAACCAATTAATTAATTTCGCTAATTCTCTGATTTGTATCTTCGTTTAAAGTTTAAACTAATCTTTGATTGACTTTGCATGTATGGACGTTTTTAATCAGATCCAATCCCATTCATTTATTTTGACATATTTAAATTTTTTTCTTAAAATCTGCAGATTCAAGAAGCAAACTCTTCTTGGTGTAACAGTTGAATCTTAAATGAAATTTTCTCTTCTGTCATCATCAATGGTCCAACCTGTAATTCTCTAATTCATCACTCTCTCTATCTCTTTCTTCTTTCATACCAAATCTTGAAAACAAAACAAAACAGAGCAATCTTTCTCTCTCTTTATCTCTCTATCTCTCTGTTCTGAGAGCTTCCATGTCTGAAACCAACAACAACAAAGCTTGAGTCTTCCTGTTCCTTTTCCTTTTCTCTCTCACACTTATGAAATTTTCTCGGGAAAATATGAAATGGGTTTTTCCAGAAATCAAAACAAGTCAGAATTTCCTCTCTCCTTCATCACTTCCACGACCACCACCACAAGAACCACCGTTATCTCTCCGATCCAACAACGCAAACTTCGATCTAAACAGCAAAATCAGTCCAAGTATTCTTCTCATAATCATAATCCTCTCAATCATCTTCTTCATCTCTGGTCTTCTTCATCTCTTAGTCAGATTCCTTCTCACACCATCAAGCAGAGACAGAGAAGATTACTTCGACAACGTCACTGCTCTTCAAGGCCAGCTTCAACAGCTTTTTCATCTCCATGATTCTGGAGTTGACCAATCCTTCATCGACACGTTACCTGTTTTCCATTACAAGTCCATAATCGGTCTCAAGAACTATCCTTTTGATTGTGCTGTTTGTCTTTGTGAGTTCGAAACAGAGGACAAGCTCAGGCTTTTACCTAAATGCAGCCACGCCTTTCACATGGATTGTATCGATACTTGGCTTCTCTCTCACTCAACTTGTCCTTTGTGTAGATCTAGTCTCCTCTCTGATCTCTCTTCTCACCAAGATCCTCGTTCTTCTTTCCTCCTTGTTCTTGAGTCTGCGAGTGATCATAGCTCCAGAGAGATTGGAGGAGATAGAGACAGTGCAGCTTGTGTGGCTGCAAATGATGATAATGATGTGTCTAATGCTCATTCACATTCCAATTCTCATCTTGGTTTTGTCGGAAACAATGACCTTGGATCACACCGGTTAGATTCGGGTCAAGGAGATCAATACCCGGATGGTGAATTGGGTGGTTCGGTTGGAAAGGTTGTTCCTTTTGCAGTTAAGCTTGGGAAATTTAGGAATATAGATATTGGTGAAGGAACTAGTAGCAACAACAACATTGGTAATAGTAGTAGTTTAGATGAAAGGAGGTGTTTTTCAATGGGATCATATGAGTATATAATGGATGAAGAAACGGCTCTTAAAGTTCATGTTTCAACTAAGAAACAATCAAGCAAGAACCGTGGCTTGCCCGGTCATAGGACCGCGATGTCCGAATGCGGGTTTGATCCAACAGGGAGATTGAAATTCAATGGGAGCGGATCGATGAGGATCGCGGAAGAAGCGACCGAAAAGAATGTAGTAGAAAGAGAGAGCTTTTCGGTATCGAAAATTTGGCTAAGGGGGAAGAAGGAGAAGCATAGTAAAGTTCAAGGAAAAGAAGATAGTTCATTGGTTTCGTCGTCTTCGGGAAGAGCATTCTCTTTCAGGTTACCGAACCAGCGTAATCCTCCCGATACGAAGAATGAGAGTGGCTGCGAAGAAGAGAATCAAAAGTGCGAAAACTCGGAATCTTTGGAGACTAAAACACCATCTTTTGCTAGGAGGACTATGCTTTGGCTTGCAGGGAGACAAAACAAGGTTGTTCATTCTTCTTCTTCAACTAATGTCTAGTTTCTCTATTTTTCCTTTTCAAATTTAGTTTTCTTTTCAGTTGTTCTTTGTGTTAGTCCTCATAAGTGCAAAAGGATGAATCATTGTAGAAATGTGGTGTTGAGATACATATATTTTTAGACATAGATTGAGAACATTTGGTGCGTCTTTGTATTTTTTGGCAAATCTTTTTCAGTTCTTAAATATTACACCCAACAATTAATTGTCGATTTAAGCTTTCCATCTAACAAGAAAACGACTCAATTAAGTATCATGAATTAGTGAGTTCCATATAGAAAATAAAATTGCCAAAGATTCAAACCATATGCATGATTATTGTTTGGTCATGTGAAAGCTAAAGATTGTTGAAGAAACCGTAAAAAATCTTATGCGACTATTTTAACCGGTGAGTACAATTCTAATTTGCGATAATTATTTTTCGTAAGCAAATTTCTTCAGATAAAATTCCTGAACTTGATTTTGTTAGGTTAAAGTTCAGACTAAAGTTGGCCATCAATACTACATGTGTTCAATGAAACTGTTAATCATACAATTTGTTATGTCTAATATGAATTTTCTTTTTACAATAAAATAATTAATCATATAATTTGCAATTGAGATACAAACCATTATTCTATCATTCTATGAATCTTGAAGGAGTGATTTTCTCTTTGTTTATTTGGTTGTTTCTTTGTTTCTTTTTTTCTGGAGCATTAGATAAGAAGTGGGTGTGGTGGTAAGACAGTTGCATTGAATTGAGGCAATTCTTCGTACGACAAAAGAGTGACATCTCGATTCTTGTGCGATATGTTATATACATATGTATGTTTGCGTTTCTACCGGGACCGGATCAGCCGATAGGGTTTATCAAAAAATATATATATATATATATATATATATATATATATATATAATGTTTAAATGTTGAATGGCTAAAGTTTTGCATTAATGGGTGAATTAATAACGGGCATGGAAGCAGTTGGATTACATGCCCACTAGTCTCTTAGTCATTATTGCGTGACAACTTACATACTAGTATATAATTTTATAACGTTAATAACATTGATTTATGTGCAACGTTAATTCATCCCAAAGAAGAAGAAGAAGAAGAAGAAGAAGAAGATTTTACCAGATATGGCGTGTCCTTCTATTTTAGCGGGATGGAGTAGTTTTTGTGAAAGTGATGATTCTTGATTCTAGCTTGGACCATATGCTAGAATTATCGTATACTCAAAACCGTTAATATATTATGTATAAATGGTGCATTTGCGTTATTGCATAAACGTTTGGGTTTTAAAATAAACCTTAATATGTATGAGAATTATGACTTGCTTTCTTATAAGTTTAACATTCAATTTATGTTTGACTTTAAAATTCTTAGAGATCTCTAGACTTGAACTCTAGAGTTCCCCGAATAGTTTGAGACAACTTTGTCATAATGTTTGACTAACCTTTAAAATTAAAAGTCAGTTCTACTTAATAATTTCCTTGCTCCTCAACAATTATACTACCAAAAATAAAGTCACATAAGTCAACTCACAATTCCTCATGAGTAAAAACATTAAAAAGGGAAGACTACATGTCGTTTTACGATAAAATGAAGGGCAACGCCTTGTTGTTTCTCTTTCATTCACTTCTTTTATTTTGTGTGGACATTTTAAATTGGACTGCTAACAAGAGTCCAACTGTTAAACAAACCATTTAAGAGTACAATTAATAACTGGGCTGGGCTGGGCCTAACAAGACATAATCAAGTTTCTCAAAATGTGTAATATGATATGGATTTCTTTTTTTGTTTCTATAATAATCTCCAATGAAAATGTTGGCAAGCTAGCTGTTACAGAAAAACTATTGGGATTGCTGTAAATAGATCTCGCAGTTTAGAACTCATGTAGTTTGATTGATCTTGTAAGTTATAAATATGTGTTTATAGTTTATACGGAGAGAAAAAAAACCCGAACTATACACCTCTTTACATGATCTAACTGAAAATCATTAGTCATATGCATAGATGCACATATAAATGGATAAATACCATCGGTGGGAGGCATGGCTCTCATGAGACAATATATCTTTGGAAGGTGTTAATTAATTTGGCTAGGAAAAAAACTGAATATGACTATATGTACGATTTTTTTTTTCCGTTGCCATTATGCGTCTTCTTCCTTAGCTAAATATTAAAGGGAAAAATGTTAAAATAATCATGAACTTTAGAATTTGGGACGATTTAATTATGAACTACGAAAAAGACATATAAATCGTAAAGTTTTTGTTGACTTTAAAATTAATTAACAAAGTTTGGTTGACTAACCATTTTAGACATAGCTTTAAGTAGGCTAATAGAAAATGATTACGGTGTTACAATCCTGTTTGCCTTCTCTGTTATGTCAAAACGATATTGTTTACTGTAGTGACAAAACGACGTCGTTTCGACGATTTGGGGAAACTTAAACCTAAATTCTCAAATCGATTTCATTCCTTAACCCTAGAACTTCTTCTTCGAGACCACCTCCATCGTTTGCTTCTTCCTCCACACCACCTCGATCGTTTACTTCTGCCTCGACACCACCTCCATCATTTACTTCTGCATCGACACTACCTACATCATTTTCTTCTGCCTCGACACCACCTCCTTCATTTTCTTGTGGAACACATACCATGTCCCATTGTCCCTCTTCACCAACTTCTTCGTTGTTCAACAGAAGGAGCGAGAGAAAAATTCTAGAGTTAAGGAATTAAATCGATTTGAGGATTTAGGTTTAAGTTTCCCCAAATCGTCGAAACGACGTCGTTTTGTCGCTACAGTAAACGATATCATTTTGACATAACATAGAAGGCAAACGGAAATTTAGTTTTCTATTAGCCTACTTAACGCTATGAATAAAATGGCTAGTCAACCAAACTTTGTTAATTAATTTTAAAGTCAACAAAAACTTTACGATTTATATGTTTTCTTTATAGTTCATGATTAAATCGTCCCAAATTAGAAAGTTCATGATCCAAATACTAAATGATGCTGATTGATGGAACATGGGGGTATATATGAAAAAGGACTGATTTTAACACGTGCTGTCTTGATTGTTTGTTCCGTTCTACTATCCTTTCAAAATAAACCAAAGACACATAAGAAAAAAGTCAAATATATTTTGGACAACTCATATGAGCTAATTAACATTGAAAATTTGAAAACCAAAAATCAAAAACTCACATGAGCTAGTATCATTATTCTTGGGTTGACATGTCAAATGAGCTAATATCATTTCCAATATGAGTGAGTTGTATATTAACTAATAAAACGGAACCAGATATTTTTACGTATCTATATAATGTTAATGTATTTCCCATATATCCTATGACCTATTATAATATTAAATAACATATGCCTTTTTTCTTTCAAATAAAAAAACTTGCCAAGAAAAGCAATCGAAGCGTTAAAAATATCTTAAAATTCAATAACATTAACTAAATTCAATAAACAAAACAAAATTGCCAACAAATGTTGCAATCAGAATCACACCATTAAGTAGCAGAAACTTTCTATAAGCATTGTGAAAAATTCCTTATGTACAAAATGGCTTACTATAATCTCTCCATCCTCGTATGACAATTGCATTGTCCAAATAACATACGGTTCTAATGAACAACAACGAGATCCGATCAAGATCATGCTTTCGCAATTAATCTCCGCAAACAAAAAAAAAAACAAAACAAGATTTTTTTTTTATCATTTACCTCTCAATTTCGGCCTCGGCAGCATCAACAATACTTCTCATAACATTTACTTGCGTTTGAAGCGACACAATGTAATCTAAGGTTTCTTGTAGCAACAAGACGTCATTGCTCATCAATTCACCACCGGGGACAACGTTTCTTAATCCTTGAGTCCGTCTCTTGACGAGTCTCTTAGCTTTTGCTGCCGCCTCTTCGCTCGCTGATTTCGATTTCCTCCTCAAGATCTTCTTGCTTCGCCTCACGATCTTTCTGTGACACACAGTCCTCTTAGGCAACTTCTTGTTGATTAGCGCTTCCGCTTTGATACCGGAAAGCATCTGACGTACGAGGAAATTGTCCTCAGTGGCGGTTTTCTCGATTAGGGCTCGGCTCCAACAAGTTGTTCCTTTTCTGAGAGACGCCATTGCAACGTCTGCAGAGAGCTTTATTGCTTTCTTTCTCTCGTGGACACTCGTGTTGTCTATCGAAGGATGAAATATCTGAAGACCCATTTGCCATTTCTTTAGGAATTCTTCATTCATTGAGCTCGTAGGCTGCATCCTAATTAATCCTAATCAAGTAGAAATATACTCAATTATGAATCATTCTCTTCAAGAAAAAGTAAGTTAATTCTTATAAAGTAATAATACCATGATGCCTTTATACATCAAAGGGATACATGTAATATACATCAAATCATAACCAAACTGGTTATTTTCCGTTTAGGGTTCCTTATCATAACCAAAAGAGACATGAACACATACCTTTTTAAGGAAATTTTTCCTTCTAGTGTCGTCAGAGATTGCTAAGAACAAATCTGCGGTCACCTCACGAATTCGTGAATTCAACGAGAGAGAGGGAAAGAGACAGAGAGGTAAGGGAGAGAGAAAGGAGAAGGAAAGGGTCCATTTTAATTGTTTCAAAAGGAGAGGGAAAATGGTGGGGGCAATAGGAGATAGGAGAAGCACATGCATGCACATGCTACGAATGGCCCACGTACCCTTTTGTATTACCCTATAATTTAGGAAACTTTTGTCCATTATTATTTGTTTCCGCCGAAAATTTGTGGTGATATACGTTTTGATGTTTTAAGTCTTGCAATTATGCGGATTATATATATAACATTTTATGCGTATCTTCTTTTGTTTTTGGTCAACTGCGTAACTTCATTATGAGGTTTGTTTAAAAAAAAAATTCACTTCATTTTGGGGTTTGTTTTCTAATTTTTCCACACTCCGTGATTTATAATGATCTCGCATCGTATATATATGTATGTAATGTATGTTCACATATTTGATTTTACATGTAATTCTCTATCTGACAACCTTATCAATCTGCAGCGCTGTCACCACATAAGAGCTCCAAGCAAATAAAGGCCTATATAAGCACGCTAAATAATCTAGATTATCTTTGAATTGGTGTCATTACTTAGTTAGAACATAATAACTTAAAAAGTCTTATCTCAGTTTTGAAATTTAAATGTTAATTTTGAGCAAGGCTTTCGAAAACGTTGGATCGGCTCTGAATGTAGCTGAGAATAATGGCTGGTTCTGACTATTGGGAGTGCGTAATTTGTTAATGTAATCAGTTCAGTTATTAAGAAGCAATATTCAGTTTGATTATTGTCGAAAAATGAGTGAATCTGTGAATCCTATACCCAATTATAGATCAATAATCTACATACGTAAAGTTAAAATATTGAGAACTTTATGATTTATTGCACTGCACACCCTGGTTATACGTACGGTGAATTGTTTCATCTTTTTTTTAGTGCTAATAGTGATACATTCACAACTAGGTATCAAATATGAAAAGCATGGTCACCACATTAACTGTGCCATAACTTTTTTATACACATACAACAAATAACATCAATGGTTTTAGTGGTCAAAACGTGGCGATCCGCAAACTTTGGGAAAGCCTTGTTTTGAAAAAGAAGAAAGAAACAATAATAATTATTGACAAAAAAGAAAAGTAACAATAATAATTCATTTATATTGGACATTTAAATCCACATGGATGATAATGGTATTGATAGATCATGTACATGAATATAGAAGTTGATGCTGTATAAATTAAAATATATGTAAGTTAACTATGGAAGAGAAATATTTTTGATATTAAAATTAGCTTTTTCCTCCAACAAAATACATCGAACATGGATCTTCTGGTGTGGGAATTTGTTTCCAATGGACCTCCGTAATTTACGGGAATCTCAACAATCATTCTCTGAACTCTACACGCCCACCATCTCATTGTCGTCACCATCTGTCTAATTTTCTTTGATTAAAATGTTTTTGTGCCTTAAACACACATTCTACGACGTCGTTAAGGTGGCGACACTCTTGCATGCACGCGTCCACCGAAGCGCATGTGCACACGTGGCGGGACCCTTGCCTACGGGTGCTGTTATTTTGACATTTTCACTCACCAAAGAGTTATTTTCCAACGGTGGCTCTCACTCCTCTCTCTGAGGGACGGCTTGATTTGCTTTAAGTTAATTTAACATATAAAAATTTCAGATTCACTGACAGGTTGATTGTCCTAACTTTGTTGTATAAATTTCAAAAATTTGAGGATTGGTGTACAATGAAGTTGTTTTTAGTGTCTTGAATCAAGAACACCAATGGTCCTGATCTACAGAGAGATATCTCGTACTTTGAATTCGCAAAAGACATTTGAGATGATATTGCAGAACAATACACTGATGTTACTGTTGAGTGTTGACAATTGGCAGATGTAACTATAATATAAAAATAATGTTTGAGATCATTGGTGGCGTGGCTGATGGTTTCATCACTCATCATGGTGAATAAACAGACGAAATCACAAGAGAGAACTTAAAATACTTAAAAATTTTGGGATAAATCTACTCCCGTGCATACGGAATCGAAAGAGAACATAGAAATCGTAAGAATTTATAACTTTTTTAAGAAATGGAAAACTTTGTTTTAGTCCACTGATGCAAAACAAATTTTTATGCAAAACAAATAGTTTTTTTATCAAACTGTATATAAAATGTAACATATGATTCATACGAAGAGAAGAGAAGAGTCCTAGTCTAAGTAGAATAATTATAGGAAAGGGTAACTCTAGCTTATCCTCAATATAATGTACTAATTTTATTAACATGTTTCAAATTAATGAAGTAAAATATTATTTTACTGATCAACTATTTTTTCATCCAACTTTATATGATATACTATTTACGAGCTCCATTCTTATCATAATCATATAACGCATGGTCTTGGATAAATGTATACTACAGGTAGGCCATGTGAAATAATTTGAAGTTAAAAAGGTAGAAGAACCGACGGAATGGTGAGTAGATTAGCTTCAGTTTCATAGTATCAACTACTATCTACGAGTCTACGACCAAAACAGCCTAAAAGTCAATTAAAGTAACTGTCTTTTTGTTTTTAATTTAAATTGGATAATGCTTTGGGTATAATCTAAAATCAACACACATAATCTCCTTTTAATGATATGTTTGTCCCCTTAAATCAAGGGTAGATTAGTGGCTTCTTCCGTACTCTTCCAAGGACAAAAGTAAAAAACTCTCCCGCCCTAATTACTTAAATAAGTTAAAGTAGTTGTTTATCAGAGAAGATTGAAAAGCTTAATTAAGACTTTACTACGAAGCGATAAATTTTTAAGAATAAAAAAGTCATTGTATTACATGAAAATATGCATAGTTGCGTATATAAGTTATCTATATGAAACTGTGAAACATATCATTAATTGCAATGGTAATAGAGGAACAACCAAACAAGCAATGTAAAACATGTTAAAACAAAAAGATTCATTAGTGTACGTAGACTGTAGAACATGCAAAGAAAATTATAACAAAACAAAGTCTTCAATGGTGATTAAAAATTGTGCTAATGCTAATTAGTGAGGTTGGAGGAGTGGGTGTTTCCACATGGGAAATTTCTCTCGTTAAGGTTGATATAGCTAAGACATTAAATACTACAAGAGGGAGACTTTATTTTGGACTGCCTTTATATATGCTCTAAGTTCCTTAATAAATATTTTGGCTAAAAACATGCATTACATCTACATCCTTCTCTGTTGGTTTTAATGGAGCTATTTATAGTTACTTTAGAGGTAGGAGAGGTCTTCGATAGTTACTAATCAAAGTTTTACTCATGACTTCTTTATATTCTCTGATGATTCAGCCAGATCTGTCCAAGGCATCCTCATTGTCCTCTATAATTTCAAACGCATGTCCATGGAGAAGTAATGCTTTTTCCCTTTTGGGTTTTCTGCACCAAGAAATGATCAATGTGAAACTATGAACTTCTAATACAAATGTTCAAAAGCAGAAAAAGGTCTTGGCTAGCTAAATATTTATCATTTTCAGGAATATCGTCTACCTTTTTGACAAAGAGGAACTGTGTTAATTGAAAATACCATTATACAATGATATTAATGTCGTTGTTAATTGGTTTCACCAAATTTAACAAAAACCAAGGTTGAGAAAAATATTAATTGAACGGCCAGTTGGGGGTGAATCATTAGGATTGCATTAGAATGTTATTTTAGTTCATCTTCTAGATCTGTACGTAGCAGATATTCTTATTACATCGATAGTAATAAATAAGTGCCTACACTTTGGTACAACTATTAAAAATTAATCAAACAAATATACAACTAAAAAAAAAAAACAAGAAATTGGTGCTAACTCATGGACTCACTTGTCTGTACTTAGATCAAGTGTGGAAAGAGCTGTCATGTTAAGATGATCAGATCTCTTGTACTAAGATCCAAAGTTTGATTTAATCTCGAAAACAAAAATCACGGTTTAAAATAATGCCAGAAGAAACATTAGAAAAATGACATGTTAATAAAATTTTACATTAACAAAAAGAAACTCTAGTTTTTTTAATGGCGTAGAGCCGTAGACAGTTTTAAGTAGCCACATATGATTTTGATTAACAAATTGTTAGTGGTATTAAACAAAATGAGATATAGATCAAATTGATTGATTTAGCCGCCATAGTTAATAAATGCTATAGTTGTGTACGATCGTGATTGTAGCTATTTGGAAAAGGTCATAAAACAAGTTTTCATAATGTTTTTAGTATGAACAATTGAGGCATAATTTAGTTGTACTTTCGTATAATTTCGATTTTGAACATATATAATTTAACACAAATTATGGTTTAGTCTTTCGTAAAGGATTTGTTCACTCCAACAACAATAGATGATACGATGCCGTCGTGCCGAGTACATCCAACTTCGACCAAAAACCAAATGACTATTTAAAACCACAATAAGACAAAGAAGTACGTATTGGCCAACCGAATAAAACATTATTCGTTAAGCATATATAATTAACTATTATCATGATGATTAATAGTTAATATAATTAACAAGATCGTCCTAACAATATATACACTAGTATACATAGCATAAAGATCTAAAGAGAACACAAAGTAAGATTCACGAGGAGGGAGAAAGAGAGAAGAGATGGGAAAGATAGAGGAGTACAAGCCGGTAATGGCGATGACGATGATTCAACTGTGTTATGCTGGAGTGACTCTCTTTGCAAGAGCTACTTTGGTTCATGGATTAAGCCCTCGGGTTTTTATCCTCTATAGGCAAGCCTTTGCAACCATTTTCATCTTCCCATTTCTCTACTTATCCAGGTAATTAAAATCATCCCTCTCTCCCAAATGGAAATGTGAATTCATAATTTGTGAGTTTAGTTGCTTCAGAATCACCTTTCTCTATATCCTCTAAATGATTATGTGAAAATAAAATTTGTTAAGTTTCATTGGTTTCTTTCTAACCCAAAACAAGTGGAAATGAGTGAATTGATTCACATTTCGTATATATATATTATTTATAAGTTTTTTTTCTAACTCACTATGTGAGTTCCTAACATAGTTAATTCTTACTGGCCGATGTATTTTTTTTTTGGGATTAATTGTAGGAGAAAATCAAAGATAGCCATATCTTCTTTGGATCTAAAGAGCTTTTCTTTAATATTCTTGGTCTCGCTTATAGGGTAAGTGTATATTAAATTTAATTTCTTAAGAACTCCAATTAGATGAATCTTGGACAATGTTGCTTATTCTTATTATGTGTTTGCAGCATTACAATCAATCAAAATCTATATCTTGAAGGCCTTTACTTAACTTCATCATCGATGGGAAGTGCAGTGGGTAACATCATCCCTGCAATCACCTTCCTCATCTCATTTCTCGCCGGGTATATGCATATACACATTTATATGGAATTTTGTGAAAACAAGATTTATGTGTTACTAATTATTATTATTATTATTTTTTTTTTAATGTGTTACTAATTATCTCTGATCTTTAGATACGAGAAACTGAATATCCGAGATATAAGAGGCTTAGCAAAGATCGCAGGGACGATCCTCTGTGTAGCAGGAGCGATCTCCATGACTCTGCTTCGTGGACCAAAGATTCTCAACTCAGAATCCGCTTTACCAATCGATAAATCGGTATTAGGAAATCTTAAAGACCAGAACACGTGGTTGATTGGTTGTTTGTTCTTGTTCTCTAGTACTCTTTGCTGGTCCTTTTGGCTTATACTTCAGGTAAACTTCTTTAAATAAATCAAAGATCATAAACTTTTCTTTTGTAAAGTTTCTTGCCTTATAAGAAAACTAAACTTTGTTTCAACAAAACCCTAGGTTCCAATCTCTGCCTACTATCCAGATAACCTCTCTTTATCAGCATGGATGTGTTTATTCGGAACGATACAATGTGCAGTCGTCACTTTCTTCCTAGAGAAGGATCCAAACGCTTGGATTCTCCATTCCTACTCCGAGTTTGCGACATGTCTCTACGCAGTATGCACATACAACATTCCTCTGTTCTTTTTTCCTTTCTTTCTTTGGCAGTCGATTAACGTAAATTCAAATATTGAAATGCGTTTGTCAGGGAATTGGGGCGTCGGCACTTTCGTTTACAGTCCAAGCTTGGGCTATTGCAAAGAGAGGTCCTGTGTTTTCTGCACTGTTTAATCCTCTTTGTACAGTCATTGTAACAATCTTGGCTGCTCTGTTCTTCCAAGAAGAGATTTACACTGGAAGGTAACAAAAGCATACTCTTATAAAAACTGAAGATAACTACAATTCAATAATCTGTTTGATCTTTTTGAATAGTTTACTCGGAGGATTAGGGGTGATAATGGGACTTTACACTGTGCTATGGGGTAAAGCAAAAGATGTTATGATTAATCAAGATCAGAGAGACAATGATCAGAACTCAGAAGTAAAGATTCATATAGAAGATTCTTCAAACACAATTATCTGTAACAGAGATCTGAAGAATCCTCTTCTGTCCAACACAAATCAACAGAAGAAATCCAAACACATCACCAACTAGACTAAATTCAAGATTCTTCCATTCTACTGTTTCTTAAATTTTGAAAGCTGTGTTTGCTATAATAAATGTTAAATGACTTATTAATGAAAAATCAAAGTCTTGAACAAAGACTAGCATAATCCTAACGAGAATAAAAACCGGCGAAATCAAGGATTGTTGAAACCATTGGAACGGGCATAACTATCTTCTTTGTTGTTTCGGAAGGCGCAACATCCCATAGCGTAGACGATAATGAGGAGTACAAGGAAAATGATGTTGACAATAGCAACTCTTTTCCATGAGCTCTTGAGGTTGTCGAGAAAACCAGCCTTGCATGCTTGGCAATTGTAGCAAAGCTTATCCTTTTCGTTGTCCCAAAGTTGGCAATCTGAGTTCTTTTGTGTTCCTGATGTTTTGTTCCAACTTGTTGCATTTATGTAGATGAAGTTACAGTCATTAGAGGGCTTGCAGCAACCAGACTGTATACAAGAAACAATCAAGATTCAAATCATAGAATTAGAATAATGAAAAAGGTCAAGACTAAAACCCTTAAAAGAAAGTAACTTTTTGATATATCGATTCAGATTCTGAAACTGAGCTTATACAGTTCTAATCAATGTGGTCTAAAATTACTCAGAACTGTTACCTCAAGTTTGTAAACACAAGCAATCACATGATTAGATTAGAAGCTTTTAGATTCATTATATATAACTAAGGCACAATAAAGATTTGTCAGTGAAATCAAAAGCTTTGACATAGCTATATAGGTATTATTCTAGACTTCAGAGATCATTGTGCATGGCTCAAAATTTCAGAAATAAAATCAAAACTTGTGCAGAAATTCATGAGGCAGACGAAAATATCAGACTAAAAACCCTAAAAAAAAAAGACTTCTTGGGGCCATCTCTTGAAACTCTATCCTTTATTTTTCTCATTCTCTAAATCAAATTGCCTAAAAGGAGTTTCAAAATTGGTTACCTCAAGAGGAGTGAGATCCTCTTTGTAGAAAGCAGAAACAGGCTCACGAGCAGCGTATAACTCCAAGTTAGAACAGAACTTGCTCTCATAAAGACAGCTTCTAATGTTGTTCCAATGTTTAGCGTTGTTCACACGCTTCTGCAACCAATCAGAGTAAGTCTCAAGCCTATACTCCTTATAAGCCTTTCCAGGGATAGTTTCACCGGAGCCTTTACTAGTGACCACAAAGGCGAAGATGGTGAAACAGAGGACTATGACGATTAAGGAGAACATAACAAATAGATAGAACCAGAGAAGCCACGTCACTCTGCAACAAGATCCAACGACTCCAGCGATTGCGACTATCATGAGGAAAGCACCGAGAGCGATTATGGGTTTGTCGAGAAATCGCTCGCATTGCGTCGAGGCGTTAAGGCTAAGCCAGATTCCTGTTGAGAGAATCGGAACCGAGAGGAGGAAGACGAAGAAGTTGAGTATTCCTATAAGGCTGTTACTAAAACGTACCATGGTGTGATTATTGAAGAAGAATTTAAGATTAAGAAAGGGATTTGTGTGATTAGGTTTCTGAAGAGAGATTTGGATTTATAAAGTGGAAGTGAAACGCGTAGAGAAGATGAAGAGATTAGCGAAGAAGTTTCGTTATTGCCTAATATGGCTACACGACGAGTACTAATGTCTCTTCTTCATCTAAGGTTGTTTCGGTTTCAAACGCTTAGAACTTTTGAGTTAAGGAATATCTCATAACTCTCACGCGCTTTTCAAGGGAGTGATTGTGAGATTTATAGATTTTGACTAATAAATATTTTACACTTACTTTGATAAGAATATCAAAGAATGTATTTCTTACAGATCTCTTTCTTTTTTTTGATGGAAAATATTAAGTGGTATCGAGACTGTGTCACATATGACATAACTTAACGTGTGGGACAGTGGAAGTGCTGAGTAAGCTGATCATTGTAACGTGTTTCCCACGCGTTTGTTCAAGTTATTGGAACATTGTGACTATAGAAAATTAATATATGACGTTACATTATATAATCCCCAACTAATCAAGTTTATCTTCAGATGATTCTTTTGGTACAATCTTGATCTTCATATTAAAAAAAATATCAACTATATACATAATAAAAGTAAAGATTGATCAATATCAGGATCAAACAATGGAAATATTAAAAAAAACAAAAAAAAAAGAAGCAATACACTGCATGAAAAAAACTTCTTCAATATGAAGAGTTGTCAAGAAGAGACTATAGTTTGTCAAGAGAATTGGATTTATAAGTGAAAGTAAAACGCGTAGAGGAAGGTGAAGAGATTAGCAAAGAAGTTTCGTTATTGCCTAATATGGCTACACGACGAGTACTAATGTCTCTTCTTCATCAAAGGTTGTTTCGATTTCAAACGCTTAGAACTTTTAAGGAATGTCTCATAACTCTCACGCGCTTTTCCAGGGAGTGATTGAGTTTCAAGATTTATAGATTTTGATTAATAAATATTTTACACATTATGTATACTATCAAAGAATATTATTTGTTGCTTGCTTACAAATCTCTTTCCTCCTTCTATCTTCAGAAAGGTTATCGCTCAAGTGGTTGTCTACAACATCTGGCGGCAGCGGAACAATGTTTTACACAACTCCCAGCGTTTGTCTCCTCCTCTTGTCTTTAAGATGATTGATCGTGATGTACGCAATATCATTTCTGCTAGGAGAAAGCGAAAGCGGTGGCGTGACCTCATGATTCTCTGGATTCGCTAGTTTTTCATATCCTTCTCTTAATATTGTAGCCTTGTTTTATTTTTTTTGCCTTGGCTACTTTTGTTTAGGTATTGCTTGTGTAAAACCTCTTTTCATTTATATGATATTTACATGTTTAGCAAAAAAAAAAAAAAAAAAAAAACTCTTCCTTTTTTGTACGAGATGGGCTTCGGCTTGATCTTGAATGACTTGTACAAGATGGGCTTCAACTTGATATGGGCCTTGTGGATATTTTGTCAATCAAACCCTCTGATTGCTTGAGAGTCTTCTCTTGCCTTCTCTTCTTAACTTGAAACTCAAAGACACTTATATATCTCCACTTAACTCTAGACCAACCAGTTAACTCTCTCAAAGTTATGTAAAAGCTAGTCCTATCTCTGCGTTATGGTCAAAGCCCGACAAGCATAACCCATGAGTCCATGACACAATGATTATAAAACTCCTACCTATACGGATATAAGATTTGGAAGTTTTAAACGGAATTATATGCTCCTCAGCTGCATATGCATCATTATATATATATATATATATATATATATATATATATATATACAATAACGGTTAGAGCGTAATTAACGAACTAAACTAAATCTCCCAAAAACAGAAAAACGGTACATAATATTTCCGTACGGTCGAGATCACTAGGGTCTCTTAAGTATTATTAAGAGATCTCTTTTGTACATTTGACCACTTTTATTTGATCTGTTTTTGGTTTCTAACAACTAAATTCAGGGCCGGCCCAAACTATTTGAGTGCCTAAAGCAAAAAAAATTTTGGCCCATTAACAAAAGCTGTTATAAAAAAAAAAAATAAGTTTTAACATGTATGGGATTCGAAACCATGACTTGTACAACAAAAGACTTCAACTTAACCACTAGACCACAATAACATTTTAAAAATTAATGCCCTTAAAACTACTTATAATTATTTGATGCCTAAAGCCCTTACTTCATAGGCTTTACCCATGGGCCGGCCCTGACTAAATTGATAAGTTTATCATTCTTAAACTATGTACATGATTTCACCCAATGACCCACCATAAATAGCTAATTAATTTGGTTTACAAAAATGTAATTGGTGGGCAAAACAAACAAAAAAAAACACACACAAGATTTAGTTGAAGAAATTGAGTCTTTGTTTTTGGAGTTTAGAGTGGAAATTTAAAAGAATGTCATAAAGTATGATGAATAGCTGTATATCACTCTTTCACATTTTGGAAATATGATTATTTTACATTCTAATCATTCATAACTTGTAGTATCAAATTTCACGTTTTCCAACAGTGATGATCCCAATATTATAGTTAAAAAGAACTTTAGTCTATTAAGATCGGTTAAAATGTCTTCACTATTCAATCATTCAATTATTCTATAACTATCCTTCTGAAGTACTATTAGTCAAGTGAAAACGTTATCAACCAAATCATACTAAAAATCACATACTTAACTCACCTTCACCTTCACATACTAAAAAAATGATTATAGACCATAAACTTAAAAGACGAGAGAAATTATAAGAAACTTCTACTTACAGTACTTTCCTCTTGCCTTACAATTAAAATACAAATGATTTAATTAGCTATAGAAACAACAATGAACTGTCGGTGGAGAAGATAACGTGGCATGAGTACTTCACAGCTGGACCGTAAGATTACGACTCCCTTAGTTAAATTCCTCACCGGATCCAACGGTTACCGTACACCACCACTTTCTCTGCTGTCCCCACTCTTCCCAGCTGTCCTTATTCCCTTTTTTCTATTTTATTTTATATACTTATATAGTACCTTTTTTAGATCCGTAACAAATAATTTTGGTAGGAAAATATTTGCTTACATCAATCAATACTCTATTAAGAAAACAAAAATGTTCTGATTCATTTCAAGATTAACACAATCACGATTAATTTTAAATTAACGCGATATATACGTTGTCCTTCTTTTTTTGGTTTTTGCTTGTCTTAAGAGAAACGAATAATTTAGATTTTATAATCCTAAAGAACGAATCATATAAAATGTATGGGAGAAAGAAAAAAATAATTTCATTAAAAATAATAATAATAATAGTCACGGTTAATGTACAAGCTTGGCTTTAGTATTGTATCCGTAATAAGAAAGATACCATCTAACGAACTTCTTCAACCCGGTTTCCAAATCGGTTGTCGGTTTATACCCGAATTCATTTCGTGCTGAGCTAATATTAGCATGTGTGAACGGAACGTCGCCGTTTCCTGGCATCTCCACGAAGTTCCGTTTTGCTTTCACCTTTAGATGCTTCTCCAATATATCCACCAGAATCGGTACCGTTACCGGAGATGTGTTTCCCAGGTTAAATATCCGGTACGGTGCGGCTCCACGTTTCTTACCACCCGACCCGGTACTTTTACCCGATGAATCTAGAGATCCTAAGCAGCCTTTGACTATATCGTCGATGTATGTAAAATCCCGGGCTAGATCGACCCGATTTTTGCCCCGGTAGATTGTGATCGGTTTACCTTGTAGGATGTTTCTGGTGAAGGAGAAGTAAGCCATGTCCGGTCTACCCCATGGTCCGTAAACCGTGAAGAATCTTAAACCGGTAATGGCAAGACCGTAAATATGGTTATAAGTGTGGGTGATTTCTTCGCCGGCTTTTTTCGTTGCGGCGTAGAGACTCGCCGGTTGATCTGTACGGTCAGATTCGGAAAAGGGAACTTTCTCGTTGAGTCCATAGACGGAGCTCGATGAAGCCCAAACAATCGCCGGTTGAGGATTCGCCGCTTTGCAAATCTCGAGAAGATTCACAAGTCCGGCGATGTTGCTATGAACATACGATTGAGGATTCTCCAAAGCGTATCTAACTCCGGCTTGAGCAGCGAGATGCATCACGTGAGTGAAAGCAACGACATCGAAAAGCTTCGCTAACAGCTTCGCGTCGTTGAGATCTCCTTCAACGACGAAGATCCCTCTCGACGACAACAGAGATCTGCGAGCGCGTTTCAACGACGGATCGTAGTAATTGTTGAAATTATCAAGTCCAACGACACCATCGCCGCGTTTCCTCAACGCAAGTGACACGTGGCTACCGACGAATCCAGTAGCGCCGGTAACGAGGACGGAGATACCGCCGGAGCGATGGATCTGAGCGGAGGTACGAACCTGTTTCTCCCACTGGATTCCGCCCCAAGAAGCGGTTAGATAACGGCTACCGGAATCGACGAAGCTTTGGAAACTCAAGTAAGAAGCGGTGAGAGCGATGAGGAAGAGAGCCCAAAGAAACATGGTGCTCGTAGAAGCGAAACAACGGTGGAGCTGACGGTTTGACCGGTCAATTTTGAATTTACCCGGCGTTGACGGAAACAGCTCATCTTCTATTGAAGGCATAATTAATTAAACTCTCTTTACAAAAAATTTCTTCCTCAACAAAAATTTATCGGGAAAAATGGGTAATTAAATTTAGAGGGAAGAAGGAAGAAGACAGATGCAGATTTTTTTTTTGGTATATATATATTTTTTTTCCAAAAAGCATCTGCTAAGGAGAAGAGGAAGAGACGGAGAAGTATATATACAGGTGAGGTTAGGGGACAAGGAGACGCGTTAATTTGATTGACAGATTGTCAATTTCTTTTTTCTTTTATAACAAAATTAATACTATTTGTTGACAAAAAGAAAAACAATCCTAATTATTTGTTTACAGAAAGAAAGAAAAAAGAATCTACTAATTATGTAGTAAAAACCTGGATTAATGCTAAATCTACCGCAATCTTTTTTTTCACCAATTTACCGCAATTTAAGGAGGCATTTAAATAACCTTAAGTTAATTTTATGGCGTCTTGGTTTTTTTATTTTTTTTCCTAATGTTGAAGTGTGAGATATGTTTTGAGATTCACTTGAGTTTCAGATTATGTGTTTTTTTTTGTTATGATTTGAAATATTTTGCATTTTCTATACAACTTGAAATCATACATAAATGTGTGAAAGAAAGC